TTCTTGCTTTATCTTTCGGGATATGTAATAAATAATTCTTAATATTATAAAATGGTTTAAAGTTTTATAAATAATCAAAAACAACCATTTTCGGAACAACGTTAATATTAGTTCGAATATGTACAAGAAAACAAATGCATGGATTTCAAATTATGGTCTTAAATTTAAACCTTTACGAGTTAAACATATCGATATGATATGTGAATATTTCGTGTCGGAGCTATTAATCATATGATTTACGCAAACTTTTCGAGGCGCTCTTAGGAGCCAGGATTTACCACAATCCCGATGGTATAATCTTGACGTTAGTTGACTTAGTCGTAATTCGATCGGTTATTTGATCGGTCTGATCCGGACCGTATCGGTTCAAAACATAATCGAAAAACCTCAAACTGGTTCGGACCGATTTTCGACAAGAGCCTAATTGTAGTAAGTTCTTTTTACTTTATCACTTATCAAAAAAAAAGCTTATTATAACAATGCCAACGGGGATAGTGAGCCATCGGGATGTCAAAACTTTAAAAGGTTTAGTACTTTTGATAAAAAAATTTCTATTGAACTAAAAGCGAACTCAAACATCTCAATGGGATTAGTGATACTGTAAATTTTATGACTATAGGATGGAGTCAAAAACCAATGCGCAAAACAATGTGGCATTCTTTGTTACACGACGACTTTTTTTTCTTTTAATCTGAATTTAGAAACTCTAGCCGCTTTTTATTCTATTATGACGAGATCGATAATTTGATTTTAAATTATGCGGAAATTTTCGGAATGTGGGAATAAATTGAATAAATTTGTGTTTCTAAAAATTCATTTGTGATTGAGTACCAAGCAATTTCGAATTCTTTGCATTAATGATTATCAAATAAAAAAAGTTCGCCGAGAATTTAAGTTTAGAAGGTTACGGTCATACCGAAATTTCATACGTACGTATGCGCGTACGTACACACGCACATGCGTAGAAGATAGCAGATAGGATAAATGACTGGATAAATGTATGAGATTGTTTATCTGTTATGCTGGCGCCTTAAAAAAAAGCAAATTAAAGTTTCGTGTAACAAATATTAGATAAAGTTATTACTGTATAACACAACGGGCTATTTAATACAAATTAAATGAGTTAAGGGGTCGGAAAATGGTTTCCAGATAAAAATACTTTTATGTATTTGTACAATCGACCTAATGGCGGGGTATTATCGGCCCAATCCGACTTGCATACAATTTATTAATTGATAAAACCTACGTAGCACTTGAGCTGACAATTGCGAGTAATTTGGTTTGTCTTTTTTAAGATTAAATCTTCCTTTTTGTTCACATGTTATATCAGGCGAGTACTTTGTTTTGTAACAAAACGTTTAAATGACAGGTGCGTTTGTCGAATACTGACTGTATTTGTTTGTTTATATGTTAATCAAAGAATTTCTATAAATGATTAAATATGCGAATATTAGAAATTACTTGTTTGGCAGTTTTATATTCTGTAATGATTGAACTTGTCTTCTATTTTTTTTTTCTACGTAACGATAAATCTAAGTACAAGTACGATATAGGAAAATCATTCCACCGACATAGGGGTTGGAACTTCATTGAAGTCGATCTTGACTGCAGTTCCATAACAGGAATGCTAATGAGATGAATCTTATCCCTTTAGAATTCCTCATTCTAAATAAAAAACTCCTGTTCTTGTTTTTACACAAATACATGTATCAAATAATAATAATAATTGCATGCCAAATGGATATTGTACTATTATTATCGCCATAAATGATGTGTAATTTAATAAAGGATATGTGGCCTATCCTATCTACATTAACTTAAGTACAAAGTCTCATTTATGGCTAACATTTTCTCATCCGAAATTTCAGCAGAATTTTCTGAATTTTTTAAGGAAACAATAATTTTATTGTAAGTAACGGGCTAAATATATATATTTTTTATAATAATAATACAAAAAAAATATTTTTAATGTGTATCACCATTCTAAATATATATAGCCTATACAATTATGCCGTAGAGACTTCACCATTTCGTTTGGTTTTACGATTTTTCATTTTTTTTGACCGCAAAAATGGTTTCCGAACAAAGTGGTGTCCTTTCTGGGAATAATCCCATGACTGTTAATGCATCTGATCCTTTAACACTTACTATAGTACAGGTAAAGTGTCTCAAAAATTTTCTCCGTATTTGTTCTTACGGGATAATACAGGAATTCACCAATAATCCCGTTTGTTTACATATAATTCGCGAGACAAAATCCCCGGTTTGTTTACATATAATTCGCGAGATAAAAATCCCTATTTGTTTTAAATATAAACTTTATTTACATATAAGTTCTCAAGACTTTAGTGACGACGATGTAAATCGTTATTTTAAAAAAAAAAATTCGTTAAATCAAATCTGATTTTTACGTGTTATGATTTAAAAATTTTTTGTTAAAGCAAGCCATTAATATAATTAGAACCTTTAACCTTTAATGCCTAAAATTTTTTTACTAAACTTTAAGTCTTTATTTTTATTTTATTTTTTTATATTTAACAACATATATGTACGGGTAACATGTAACAGGTCGTTATCATAGTAATGTTTTGTCGCCTTCTCCATCTTGGTCTTAAACGTATCCGTCAGCCACGAGTCATTTCCGAAGTTATAGGTGGAATTATCCTTGGCCCTTCTGTACTGGGACATATTCCGGGATACATAAATACCATGTTTTCAGCCTCTTCCCTTACTTACCTTAATCTTCTGGCTAATTTGGGGCTGCTCCTATATTTATTCATAGTTGGATTAGAATTGAATCCAACGATGATAAGAAAGAGTATAAAAACCGTCATTTTTATCTCTGCGAGTGGAATCATATTACCTTTTGCCTTGGGTGTAGGAGTCGCATATGGCTTATATTACTCAATGGGCAATGATAACGTGCCATTTACGAGCTTTCTATTGTTCATCTGCGTCGCTATGTCTATTACGGTAAAGAACCTGTTTACATCATTACCTAAAAATGTGTGTATCTCCGTAGAGACATCAAAAACATGCTTGCTAAATTACAGGCATTCCCGGTTCTCGCGCGTATCTTATCGGAGCTGAAACTTATGAGAACTCCCGTAGGTTCTTGCGCGCTAAACTCTGCCGTTGGTGACGACATTACCGCTTGGATTCTACTTGCATTAGTTGTTGCGATAATTAACGCTTCGAATTATCTCACGGCTCTTTATGCTTTCTTGATCTGTGTTGCCTGGACTCTGATTGTTGGATTTATTATTCGCCCAATCTTGCTAAAACTCATTGTTTTAACAAATTCAAATCAAACATCTCCATCAACATTGATGGTTGCTATTACTTTATCGGTCGTCTTATTGTCTGGATTTATTACAAATATTATTGGAATTCATTACATTTTCGGAGGTTTCATCATTGGGGTGATAATTCCTCATGAAGGTGGTTTCGCAGTAGCACTTACTGAAAAAATTGAAGATCTGATTACTGTCTTATTCATACCCATAGTAAGTATTAACTATTTTATAAATAGATAATGTATGGATAAAACATGCACGTCCAATATACGTGTATATTTTATATGTTGCATATTATTTTTTTTTTTTTTATCATGATTTATTTTCAAATTAATCTTTAGTTCAATTACTAAATATATATATTTTTTTAAAAGTATTTTACGTTATCCGGATTGAAAACTAATATCAGTGACTTGGGCGCTACAGGATGGGGTTGGGTGATCTTGGTAATCGTCGTTGCTATGATTGGCAAAGTAGCTGGTTGTACTGCTGCTGCTAGAGCAACAGGTTTAACTTTTAGAGAAGCTTTAACAGTTGGTGTTTTTATGAGTTGTAAAGGGTAATTATGTATCTAATATCCTAATATCCAGTTAACATGATTAATAATTCTTAATACTAATAATTTTGAATTATTTATATGTTTATCTAGTCTTGTAGAATTAATTATTCTCAATGTTGGTTATGATGCAAAAATTATAAATAGTAAAGTTTTCTCGATCATGGTCGTCATGTAGGTGCCATTAAAAAGAAAATCATTTATAAAATATAAACATTTAATAAAATACATTAATATATTCATGTTTGCTTATGTAGGGCCCTCGTGACGACTTTTGTTACAACTCCGCTTGCCACTTATTTGTATCCTATTCAGTATCAAAAGAAAGTGGAACGTAAACGTAAAAAGGAGGATATTGAATCAACAGATTTATCTCTTTCAAAAGAAAATATCAGATTGTTGGTTGTATTAAACAAAGTTGAAAATCTCCCTGCCATGATAACTTTTGTACAACTTTTACAACCTAACAAAGCTCCTACCAAATCAACTTTACAAAATTCCGATGATCAATCTGACTTAAGCACAACTAAAGTTATGAGAACTATGAATGTTTATGTTTTACGTCTTATCGAGCTTACACAACGTATGTCAGCAGTGATGAAGTTTAATGAAATATCGGAAACTATCTTACATGATCCAATTATGAATATGTTCACTGCACTTAGTCAAATTAGTTCAGTAAAGGTTGACCCCAAGTTAGCTGTTGCTTCTCCAAAAGATTATTGCCAGGAAATTGTTGATAGAATACAGGATGCTGACATTAACTTAGTAATAATTCCATGGAGTGGTGCTGGTGAGATAGTAGATACGCCAATTGAAAATGAACCACGCGAGAAAAAACATACAAGTCCACAGGTTGCAAGTTTTGTTCAAGGAGTTTTTAGTGAAGCAACGATTTATGCAAGCGTGGGCGCGTTTGTGGACCGTGGTTTTGGTAGCATTGACAGTAATACTTGTACACTCCCTAATCCGATAGGTTATCTCCGTGTTTTCGTACCATTCTTCGGTGGTGCTGATGACCGTGAAGCTCTAAATTTCGTTTTTAAATTACTTGAATATCCAAATGTTAATATAACTGTACTGAGGATAATAAAATCAGAAGTTCCTACTGGTAACGAAGTCACATTAAGACCTGAAGTTCAATCCGAAATTCCCGACGACGAAAAAGATCGTCCTCCGCTTGACCGACAAATTTCAACTATTACTATTAGTGACGCTGTTGTGAATCGGGAGAATGAAGAGGACGAATCTTTCTTGGACAAGCACTTAAAATCAAAATCTGGATATCCTACCAAAAATGCACGTATAAGTTATCAAGAAGTTTCTTCTAAGACACCCATACAAACTGCTGTTGAACGTTCCAAAGAAGTTGTCCATAGAAAAGATTTAGTTGTTGTAGGGCGTAGTCATCATTCGCATGCAAATGAACGTCATCACCATCATGAATTCAGGGAATTAATTAAAAATTTAGGAAGTTATGGCAACGATACACATAAATCTTTAGGCTACGTAGCTGAAGCATTTTTAGTTGGAGGTGTTTCGGCTAGTCTTTTGGTGTTGCAGGCAAAGGATGTTGAAGATAAAAAATGAATTGATTAAATAATTTATATATCTATGTAGTAATTTTTTAGAGCTTGGGCCCGGGTATTATAATACATAATTAATGTCTGGGTAGTCGGAATAATCTGGATATCCACTTATTTGTTAATTTATTTATTGTAAATTTATTATATTTATTAAGAACAACTGTTGTCCGGGTCCAAACTCTAATTTTTTTTTTGATTATTGGTGCGAGGAAAAATTGTTCATTGGTTACAAAGATCACTGAGTAATTTCTTCTCGACCAAACAAAATAAGCAGCTATGGCACGAAGCATGTCCCTCGCAACCTGAAAATCGAATTTGGTCAAAATCATCGAGCTGAAAAAAAAAAAAAAAAAAAAAAACGAGGAAAACAAGCCTGGCAGATTCTTAATATATTATACCAAAAAACTTAAGATAGTTCATTTTAATAAAATTTATTTTAAAAAGTCCCGGGCATGAAAAGTTATCTAGTCTATAGGAAAAAACTTATCATATGTAGTTGTCATATGATATATTAGATTTTCATGACAGTACTGCAGTAGATGGATTATGTACTAACGCTAACATACTGTAAATGTTAACATGCAGTAAATGCATAAACACATGATAAATTATAATTTGATCATTACTAATATATTATATTATATATATATATATAATTCAGGTTATAAAATCACGAACTTGATCATGCGTTCTCTAACTTATTGAATCTCTTCTTGATTGAATGAACGTAAACGAGATAATAAGAACATTGAACCATCAGGAACAAAGGAAATCCGTAGTATTAATTCGTTTTATTTTGTTTAGTAAAAATTGAATAACCATCGATTAACAAATTTTAAGAGCTTTAGTTCTTATATTAGGGTGTCAAGGATTTTTTCTGCACAAGTTTACGCGATTAATTAAATGATGGCAAGCAATCTATCATTATATGGAAATAATTCGAGAATGATTAACTTGATCATTGCAATTAAAAGGCTTAAAAATCAATGCTAAAAGCCTGTAGAATTCGTTAATCCATCAAAAATGTAAATGGACCAAATGGTTTATGAATTATCATTCATGAGCTACTCGGTCAACATGTATATTTAATGGTTTGATTAAATTCTTTAGGTTCATAGCAAAAGATAAGTCTTTTATATTAGTATGATGACGTACCCTAATGTTATGGCTGGGAGAATGACGCATAGTATATGCGGCATATTAGCTCCGGCAGCAACTTTGAGTCACGCAGACTGAATGCCATCGCTAGGAAAATAAGCACCGCTAGTACCCAGGGCATTATTTTATCCCTTTTACTGATTAGCGTTAATTTACTGAAAAGAATCGGTCATCGGTTTTGGCATCCCTCTACAAGACCTCTTCTCCCAGTTTTGAACTATTAAAATGAAACTCAAATATTAGTAATAGTTCGGGGATTAGTAAGAAAAAAGTTAAGCTACCTTATTATATGATCAAGATTAAATAAAACATATTTGTGTTTTATACGTTTCGGTTCAGAACTTATTATCGCCGTGCTATCACGATAATCTCGCGTTAAATATTTCATATTGATATTGTATTACGTTAATTACATTTAGTCGCAAATTGTCTGTGACTTAATAAATTGCAATAAAAGTGGGTTGTATACAAAATCTTAACCGTTTGATATTCAATCAATTAGGCTAGGACTAGGTTTCCGGAAAGTTACTAGGGGTAAGGAATAAATTTTGTACGTATTTGGTCGACACTAGTATCATGTCGACAATAATACTAATAGTCCGACATAAATGGTAGCCGGATTTCTTTGTTTGACTCGGATACTATAAACTCCGAAATTTATTCCTTCTAAGGCTAAATACGTGGGATATATCAAAAGTTTTGTCATAGAACAATTATCTCAATTATTTTTAAATCTATAATCTTAAAAATTATATTTATAAATTTTATAGTTTTAATCTACAGTATTTATAAAAAAATTGAGCTAATTTTAATCAGATAGTTTTTAAAAAAAATCAAATTTTTAAAATTGGTTTTAAAACAATTAAAGATTTTTTATAAATAAAAATTACTAAAAGTTTATTTTTAAAAGATTACAATAAATCAACAACTTAATAAAGTTTTTTAAAAAATAAAAATTAATAAAGCTAAAAGATTTTATTTAGGGCTCTGCAAATGCCTATGCCAGGCATATTGGCACTATGCCAGGCACTAGTGCTTTATGCCATACCTATGCCTATAGACACAAAAGTACCAGGAATTATTATAGGCATGGACACAAATGCCAGGTATATTTATAGATATAGCCAGGTATTTTATAGACATAGGCACAAATACCAGGTAAAAAGATGCTAAAAGATGCCAAAAAGATGCTAAGCACAACTGCTAGACAAGTTGCTAAGCACAATTTATTAATAAATATTAAATTTTTTGTTTCTATTCTCATGCCCATGCCAAGTTTTTGTACCCATGCCTATGCTTATATCAAATTTTTTTGTACTTGTATCTATGCTTATACCAAATTTTTATACTAGTGCCTATGCCTATGTCTATACCTAAATTTTTGTTAAACATGAGTATAAGCCTAGGTTGCAAATCTCTAATTTATTAAAATCAGCTTGGATAATTTTGTTAAAAATTATTTATAATTATCTGATATATAAGCAATTGATAATTATAAATGATAATTAATTTTTTATTTTTTATTTTTTTTTATACTCTTAATACTAACTTTTTTCTTTTGTTTAATTGTTAATAGTATTATTATTGAAGTCATCATTAGAGCTATTACAAAAATCATTATAGAAGTTATATTCTAATTAGAGTTGTGGCTTTGGTAGTTATAAAATTGCCAAGATATTAGTGTGATTTTATTAGGCTTTGGTTATTATTAAGTTGTAAATTTGCTAGTGCTTTTAGCAGTAGTTGTAATTTAGTTATAAATTTTAGTATCATTAATAGTTGTTTATTATAAATTTTAGTATTGTTAGTAGCTAAGATTTTGCCACTTTTGATTATTTGCTCTTTTTATTATTTTTATATTTTGTTATTGCTAATTATTATAGTATTATTTTATCATCTTGAAGCTATTATTATTGTAATTTTATTATATTATTGGCAGTTCTCTGTATAAGTATATTGGTTTCATGTAATTTTATATTGTTTTAAACATTTTTTTTTTTTTTTTAAATGATTCTGTCTTTATTCATATAAGCTGTTATATAATTTATATACAATTTGTACTAAATTCTTACAACCTATAGCTCTATTTCAATAAAGACTCACCAGGGATTAAACCCAATGTGACTTGCCATACCAACTATTTACCTTCTTTGGAATCCTTAACTTGCTAAGGATTTTGTACCATTTCTAATACCCACTTTGGTTTATAAGTAGGCCATTGTATGCCTTTTCAGGATCACCCAACCTTTAAGACCTTCTTCCATCAAAGTCTGAGTAGAATACCTATCTCCTACTTTTTTACAAGCAAGGACTATATATACTATTTTTATTAAAGAACAACTATATCTAGAAGAAATAAAAGAATTTGAAACAACTAAACACTATTCTAAATATGTTTTCATTATAAATGAACAAAGATAAAAAAAGAACAAGAAAGTCAGGTAATCCTGACAAGAAAAAACTACATACTAAAGCATGATTATAACCTGTATCAGATAGATAAAAATTATATGACAATAGCAATATTGCATATCTCTACTATAAAGCTTTGCTTTAACCTCTATAATTTTTCTTTAAACTGCATTAATATCAGAAGTTTTGGTTGGACCTTTTAATCTGTATCTCAAGCCAGGTGCTGCCACTATCCGAGGACCTATATCTTAAGCCACCTGCTACTGCTATTAAAAGTATCTTAATCATTAGCTCCAGATCAAACTAGTAGTGCTTTATCCAAATTAGACCAAACACATAGTTGCTATCTACTATATTGACCAGGAAAGGAAACTAGTAAATAATATTAATCTTTAGATAGGGGTAAGCTGTTTTACCCACTTTTTTTCAGAAATTTTGTTGCCAGGATGAGTGAGTGAGTAGAAGAAAAAATTTTTCAGAGTAAAAAGTGACTAAACAAATAGCAGTAACTTGTCATAAACTGTTTTTCCCAAATAAACTTTTCTTTTCGGTGAGTGAAAAACTCTGGGCTTGTTGGCAAGTAGCATATGAAAACTACTTCTAAATAACAAGTACATCCCAGCAATAAGTGATAAACTCTAAGCCTGTTAGCAGGTAGCATATAAAAACTACCTCTAAATGACAGGTGCTGACTTATAGCTTTATTTTGACTCCAGGTGCTTCCTATAATCTCTTTACTGTGTTTTGAGTTTGAAGAATTTTTTTGGGAAATTTTGGTACAAGTGATTAATAGAGAGAGTTGACTGTGTTTTAAATGTTTATATATTAGATAATATATTATAGTTAAATTAAATTTATATAATACTATATATAACTTGTCTTCTAGCAAAGTTCTTTTGCTAGAATTTGATTAGTTAAAATAGAAGTTTGCAGGCTGAAAGTTTGTAAATATACAGTATATATAAATATTAATTACTATATTATATAAGTAAATATATATATTAAATATATATATACTGTATATATAAATAAATAAATTGCTAAATTTATTAGATATAGAGATTTAGTAAAGTGGTAGAGTTGTTGCACTCCTAGATGGCAGGTCTAGGGTTCAAATCCTATGGATGACATTTTTGAAAATAGCTCTATGATATGGTTAGCAGCTATTACTATTGGTTGGATTTTAATTTATAACCTTGATCATATCATCTAGAATAGGAGCTTTGGCATAATAAATCTAAGGAACCAAAATAACTAAAAACCATTTGGCAAGTCTCAAGTTAGAAGGTAGTATAACTTTTGATAGTGCTACAGGAAGACTAAATTTAGAACTAGAAACTGAGATCGGAGAACCAAGCAACCAGGTCCTTTAGTAAGAGAATATACTAGCCAAACCACCAGGTTGCCAAAATCAAAGAAAAAAAATATATGCTC